TATACACACAACACACACACACACACACACACACACACACACACACACACATATATATATATATATATATATATATATATATATATATATATATATATATATATATATATATATATATATATTATATATATATATATGTGTGTGTGTGTGTGTGTGTGTGTGTGTGTGTGTGTGTGTGTGTGTGTGTGTGTGTGTGTGTGTGTGTGTGTGTGTGTGTGTGTGTGTGTGTGTGTGTGTGTGTGTGTGTGTGTGTGTGTGTGTGTGTGTGTGTGTGTGTGTGTGTGTGTGTGTGTGTGTGTGTGTGTGTGTGTGTGTGTGTATGTATGTATGTATGTATGTATGTATGTATGTATATATATGTATATATATATATATATATATATATATATATATATATATATATATATATATATATACACATAAACACACACACATACATACATATATATACACATATTTATATTAATATCTATATACATATACATCTATCTATCTATCTATATATATATATATATATATATATATATATATATATATATATTTACATATATATGTTATATACATATATATATATATATATATATATATATATATATATATATATATATATATATATATATACATATATATACATAATATAAACTTATTATATATATATATATATATATATATATATATATATATATATATATATATATATATATATATATATATATATATATATAATATATATATATATATATATATATATATATATATATATATATATATATATATATATATATATATATAAACAGTTCAATTATTTCTTTTATTGAAATCGATTTGAGAAGGAGAGAATAATAAACATTGTCAGAATATGATTTTTATTAAACTTTCTTTTAAGATAGAATTACTTATTTTTTATTTAACACTTGAGACATAAAACTTGTAATTCCTCACCCTGATTTATACTTATGCAAATGGTGATGATTTCTTAAACAAACAAACAAACAAACAAACACATACTTACATACTAAGCACCAGCTCCCAGGTCAAATGTCTCTTTACAGTTGCAAAATACAATAAACTCTGTCAGTATAAATTAAAATAAACTGAGGAAACTCAAGACTGTCAAAGAGACATATGCTTGAAATGCATGATCACAAAATTACTGCTGCAATAGATAAAAGAAGACAGTAAGAACTTGGCAAAATTAGAAGACAGTTATTAGTTATTATCATAACTGTAACTGTAATAAAAATGCATAGAACTGATAATAATGAGTGAATCTGACAAAAGATGTAGCAATTAGTTTAGCCAAGTGACCTGAGGGAAGCTTTGATAATGATAATAAGCACTGTTAAACAAGAATAATTCAATCACTGATAGATTGCCACAGGAGACCATTACAACCTAAAAGATTGAAAGAGAGAGATGATAAATCTGATCAGAATTAATGTGATCAGAAGCTCTTTGGATTTCTATAAGACTAAGAAAAGAAAAAAAAGGAATATTTATATCTTGTTCTTCACACTGGATATACAGTATATCTATTCATATATTCATATACAACTTCCATTATTAGTCTTATAACAGAGGCACCAGGAACAACATAGAGGCACTATGTGGTAATATACGACAGTTGACCCCACCAGCTACAGTCAGACATTTCAGATGAAAGAAGAAAAATGAAAAATGAAAAATCCTGAAACTAATAACTGTAATACTCCCACCTCACTTCTGAACATTTGCACTATACAAAGCTCATAATTGGCATCATGTCATGTTAGATATAGCATGTTTTGGGTCAACAAATTTTCATATGCATTTCTTAAATCTTTGATTTTATTTAATCTTTCCAAGAAACTGGACATCTCAGTAACAGTTTATGTTTTACAGGTCTGCAGGTAATATGAAGGTATTGTTAATAACAACTACATGATTATTCAAGCGAGAAAGCTCTCCCACACATACATCAGGAATTACTAGGGCTTCACGAAAATAGTGGTGTATCATAAGACTCCTACACAAGCCTGATTGCATTCTCAGAGAAAAGTCTGGTGTTTATGCTACTCCAAGAGCTCAAGAATGAGTTTAGGGTGGAGACCAAAAGAAGCCTACAATGATAACAAGCACTTGGTGAAGAATGCCATAGTAGAGGTACGTATGTGTTTATGTTCAACCTCCATATTCTCATATACTGGTAAATACCCTTTCTTGCAGAATATCCAAGGGTATTTTTGTGTCATGAAGCTTTCTCATGTACTTCTGCTCTGAGGAAAAGCTAGAAGAAATTGTAATTTCTGTTTATTAGTCTCATCAGGAAAAGTATTGAAACTGAACTGATAGCTAGTGTGGCATACTTGCTCCTAATTGTTATCTTGCCAGGAATCAAGGAAATAGCATTTCTTCCTTTTCTTTTTGCTAGTAAATCTAGAAGGGGCTAAAAGGGAGGAAAAGGAGTAAATTAAAAGAAAATACATAACAGTCATATCTGGACGGCAAAAATTGACCTTGGTATAGTGAAAAAACGTGTTTCATGTATCAAATAAGGAAGTAAAATTCAGAAAACTTGCAGAAAGTCTGTGCCAAAGGCATACTGACTATTTTAGGCAAGTATTGAGCAGACTATACTCAAAAATAGAGGAAATAACATGCCCAGGGGACAAAAAGTTTGGTGTTGCAAGAGCTTGCACTTTTTTCTTCCTTTCCTTTAGGGAATGAGGTATTTCATGGTGTTTGTCTATTTCTATTGCAAGAGACTTGCTACCTTTAACATGTAAATATTCTACATGAGTATACCATATCCATTAATTTTATAAATCTACAATCTGAACATCCATTACATTTGTAACTTTTTATACATAGTGCAAAAATGAAGAAAATTTCTAGTGAAGTTCTTACTAAGGAGGAGGAAGTGACAGAGACAGAAGCAGAGACAGAAGTAAGGAAAGATGTGAGAAGGAGAAAGAGAGCAGGAGGAGAGTGAGACTTTACATCAGCTTTATAAGACTGTATATATAAGGGATAAATTAAATTCATTCCCATTAAGACATCTGCATAAAAATATTTTTTTTTCTTTTTCATACATATATTCACATCTTTATTCATACTTTGTGTAGCATCTTAGAAAATAAACAGCACACACTGTAGACAATCATGAGCTCAAAAAATATATACGAAACCATCAGTAAGTGTAAAGTTAGTCTCTTGATTACACCATAAATATCTGGACAAAGAATGGCAAACAAAAAGAGAAAAATATCCTTATTATCACATAACTAATTCAGAAGTAAAGGTTAACCCAAAACTAATCATCTAACAGGAAAGAATTTACCTATGTAATATTTTGCATAAAAAGGGTCATCTGTATGCATTGAACAAGTGCATTCTACTTAAAACTCATACTGAATTCCATTGAAAAAATTGAAAATCTGCATATTATATTCATATTATTCAATCAAATTAATACACAGCATAAATAAAGTATCCACATCAATGACTAACACTTATACCTGTAGTTATATATAGCATAATCTAAAAGCTTACTTAATACGCTAAAATCAGATCACTTATTGGAATATTATCAATATCTCAATCTAGCAACAAAATTTTCTGATTGCTGTTCGCAGCAAAATCCTCACTCTATGAAATTTGAATTCTAACAGCTGAATTCTAACAATTGGAGCCTAAAAAGAAAAGAGAAAAAACTTTCCTCATTAAAAATGATAAAAAAGGCAAAAAGTATAACATTAAGAACTTTGACTCATAAAATGTACTGTCAAAGCAGCTTTTCATTATACTATTTTTTATGACAAAGATACCTGACCATGAATCATATAAAATGAAAAGTAAACAAGAAGATAACTCATCACAAAATGTTCAAGCTGAGATGATATTCAAGCCTGTAATTATAATGTGAATAATAAAATGAGTTATTAAAATGACATGATGATGACAATAATAAAAATAATGATAATCATAATAATAATAATAAATATGAACTACAACAATCACCACCACAATAATAATAGCAAATTTAATGATAATAATAATAATAATAGTTACCATTTCTATTATCATTACTTTTATCAATCATTACTGCTATTTTTATCATCCTTATAATAACATCTTCAGAAATAATAATAATAATAATAATAATAAATGATAATAATAAAATAATAATAATAATAATAATAATAATAATAATAATAATAACAAAATAATGATAATTATAAAAATAATAATAATCAGGTATGTACATAATAAGTGATCAACCAGGTATAAAGGCTATTACTTGATAGCTGATTAAGCAAATATAGATTTTCAAAATTACATTTACATACCCTAGAAATGATAAAGCAATAATCAATAACAGGCTAGAAAAAAAGAGAGTAAAACAATGCATACAAGAAATTTCCATCCAAGTTATAAAGAGGAAGAAAAATGGGGAAAGAACGAAAAAGAACGACTACACTCCAGTTGTGGTAGTAAGAGATGAAAGGCAGATGCATATCCTTAAAGCTTATCTTGTGCAAATGTGACTGTGGCTATTACACATTTTCCATAACACATGCATTCTGGCAGTAGCAAAGAAGGGACATTATACCTAACCAAAAAACAAAACAAAAAGAATCTAACACCTAGCAGTACATTCAACAGTTGTAACTGCATTCGGAAGAAGCAAATATACACCTTCACTATGAATTCTTTATACTTTCTGAATGGAATACAGGAATTCTGAAGTTAATAACTACTGTTTTATATGTTTATCTATCAGAGACTGCATTAGTCATTCTCCCCAAAAAAATTGACTGATTTTCTTCTCAATAGATTTAGCTGAATTATTTTTAAAGATATCAGATTTTTAGACTTCTTCTCCATACTAAAGCAATTTTTGATAACCATTCACTCAGTCTTTCATTCATGCATTCATGAACTTCTATGTTCAAAGCTCTGTTAAACATCATGAAGTGCATATCAAATAATAAGGCTAATATTCAAGTACCTTCCTAGAATAAAATATTTTGAAATTTATTTACAAAAGATGCACTGACAGAAGGTATGTACATTCCAGTCTGACAGCATTTCTCTAAGTAATATCTTAAGAAAAGACAAACAGCACAGTAAAGGATTTCCTGCTAATTCTTTCACAAAGAATCAATGCATAATATGAAAGAGGAAGAAGAACATTATGCAATAAATCTTTTCTAACACTGATAAATAATTTTCATACAAAAGAAAATTTAAAATACAAGGATTTTTGAAAATAGGATAATAATATTCTGTTTTAAATGAAACATCAGACCTTGTCTGGCACAGTCATTTCACCTCTAGTCTTTTCTTCTTGAGAGAGAGGAATCATTATTAAAAAAATAATTTGAGTGTTATTTCTCCACCTTTTTCCTCTGCTCTAGTTTTTCATTTTTCTGGTTCACTCATCACTTTAGCATCATCCTTTGCAGCTCTCCCTCCTGTCCAGGTAATAAGGCATCTAGACAGTGTGATGCACTGGGAGCAGAGGTCTTCTTCTCAAGTACCTGAGTGCACAAACTACGTGTACATTTCAATATAGAAGTTGCGTTCGCATTCAGCCTCTGAACCAAATCAGGTGATGAATCCCTTTGTTGATTTCTGAAGCATGGATTACTGTTCATGCTTCGATAGAGTTTGAGAAGATTAGGAGGAATTTACATCTTAGAATTTAAAGAAACGGCAATGTAAATAGACCAATGAGTCATATTTTCTATTATGCTGAACTTCCTCAAACGAGACTACCGAAAGTATTCAGGAGTTGATCTTCTATTGAGGGATCCAAGTGCCTGACGAAAAAAAGTTTGAACTCTTTTTTTTATCATTATGTGCTGTTAAAATGAACAGCCTTCATGGGACTACAACATGTCAAGCATCAGAAACTTTCCTTCATAACAATTCACATCAAGGGAATACCTGATAACACAGGTATTTTAAGAAATATCCTTCAGAGCGAAAATTTCATTAGCACAGCATAAAATCCCTTTCAGTTGATGGTATTCATATGTGGTGGATGCACATGAAAATTTGCTGTGTGTGTGTGTGTATGTGTGTGTGTGTGTGTAAATGAATGTAACTATATATACTATTGCCAAAATAGTTCTCGTCTCTATTAATGGGAAAGGCAGTATCATAGGCCATAAAATCTGTGAATATTGAAATCATTCACTTTTAAATTGTCCTTTCATTCATTTCTGTTTTCAGTACATACACAAAAAATTTCCCGTGCATCCCCTCGTCCTTGGCAAAATCAGGCCACAAAATAATCACTCCTCTCTTCATCATGTGACGTGTGAGCGCAACAGAGTTCAAGTCACAGTCTCCCAGCAGAGGGCACCCACTGCCCCCAGCCACTAGAAGTCCAAGTCCCATCCACTGAGTTCATCTGTAGGAACCTCAACGTCTCGAGGGTAGGAGTCAAAGTTGCCCGCATCGGCAGGACCCTTGATCTGAAAAAGGGAATTCAGCGTCTTATTGTAACTGGAATCATTTGTAAAAAAGCAATTGGAGCTTTATTGTTGGAGGAATAACCTAAAGGAATCTGATCTGAATAAAAAAGAAAAAAGGAAAGAAAAAAATATTGGTAATGAAATCAAATGCATAACAGTAAATAGAGAAACGACCTAAATTTGAAATAATCTAAAATTTTGAAATTATTATCTATTTTTATTATTATTGCTTTTATTATCATCATTATCATTATCAATATAATTTTTATCATCATCATTATCATTATAATCATTATCATTATTATTATATCACTGTTATTTCTATTAACATCATTATCATTATATTATTCTTATTATTATCAACATTATCAATGCTACTTCAGTTTTTTATCATACTGTGTGTGTGTGTGTGTATACGTGTGTGTGTGTGTGTGTGTGTGTGTGTGTGTGTGTGTGTGTGTGTGTGTGTGTGTGTGTGTGTGTGTGTGTGTGTGTGTGTGTGTGTGTGTGTGTGTGTGTGTGTGTGTGTGTGTGTGTGTGTGTGTGTGTGTGTGTGTGTGTGTGTGTGTGTGTGTGTGTGTGTGTGTGTGTGTGTGGTGTGTGTGTGTGGTGTGTGTGTTGTGTGTGTTGTGTGTGTGTGTGTGTGTGTGCATGTGTGTGTGTGATAATAATGCATGTTTGTGTTCATGCTCATGTGGGTGTGCATGTGGGTGTGTGCCTTTCCACAAGCAAGGGCACACACACAAAGCACCCTAGTGTTCTGCCTTGCCTTGGGGATAATGGGGGGCTGCAGGACCCTCGCTCTCAGGCCATCCCAGTCAAAGCCCTGGAACCACCTGTTGGAATACATACAATGGGTAAGATGTATCATAAGGCATGGTAAATAAGCAGGACTGAGGCAATGAGTTGAAGCATACACAAAAGAAGATATACAGTAAATATGTATGGGATATGATAAAGAAAAAAAAGAAAGAAAGAAAGATAGA